GTCCAGGCCAGCTGGAAAGATACATGGCGATCGTAAACTAAGAGTTCAGAAGAAACCCACCCAGGCTGGCCAGCCCCAGAGGTGGAACAGTCCCACCTTAACAGCCAGGTGGGGCCCGTACCTGAGTGAGCCCATTGAGGGGGACCCCAGGCTGGTGTTCTCTCCTTCTGAGCACCCCCTCACCCTCACATTGGCAAGCAGGAGTGGGGATTATTTTCTCCTTCAGCTGAGGCAGGTACTAACCAGAATCTGGGGTGTGGTTCCAACTCTGGTGATGGCGTCTTCTCCTAGGAAACGTCAGGCTCTGGTGCCCAGGCCTGGGGATCTGCATTTCTAACAAGCTTCTCAGGTGATTCTTAGGCAGCCAGCCGGGAATTTCCTCTCCCTCTAGGACAGTGGTTTTTCCAAATTGCTCATTACCCATCCGTGGTTCGCAAGATCAACTTAATAGGCAGAGACTAGCATACTTCTTTAAATGAAATTGAATTGAAAGTACTGGAGAGCATTAGGAGGTAGTAAGAGTAAATGTCGTTTTGTGAAACTTGTTACACGCAGTCTGTGTGTGCGCGCTGGGTCATCAGAATGTCGGCAGTACTTCCCGAGGGTTGCAGTCAAGAGACCTAAACACTGATGTAGGGCACAAGGTCTAATTATGGCCCAAACCCCGAAGCTATCCCTCCTCTCTGGGCGCTACTCCATCCACATTCCCCAGAGCTTCTGGACTCACCTCTGCTGTTTTGTTTTTTTTCCCTTCTCCTAGGTCCCTTGCCTGAGCCCTTTACAAACGGGGAGATTCATAAGGTAAAGGCAGACCCTCTAATGCTTCTCTGGCTCTCAAGCCAGGGGCTGCAGGAGAAGGGTGGAAGGTGGCATGGTTGGGACAAGGATGGAGGTCTGGCTCAGGTTGAAACTCCCATTTCCAAGCTGCTCCCTCCTGAGCTCCAAGTTCTGTAACTGCCGGTGCACCCCTCAACCCCTGTGTAGAGCCAAGGCAGTTGGGAGGGAGAGGCCTAGCCAGGCCCATCTGCAGCCCGCCATCCTGGTGACAAGCCCCGCCTTCAACTCCCCACCGTACAGAAGAGGCCTTTCTTCCCCCCAAGAACAGAGCTTCAGTGTCTGGACGCACGCTGCCTGGGCCCTGCTACTTCCAGTCTGGGTTGGGAGAACAAAGCCCCTCCTCCCCTCCTCCCCTCCTCCCCGGGCAGAAGGGAAGAGAAGGCAGTGGAGGCTGGGGAAGAGATGGTGGGGCCTGCTGCCAGCTGAGGCCGTAGAGGAACCCAGGCGGAGGCTGAGCACCAAGCTGAAGCCTTGGCCAAGACCTTCACTCTGGGACAGGCTGGCTCAGAGTCAGACCACAGAGCTGGAGCTCTCTGAAGGGTCTGCTCAAAGGGTTCCCATCCCCAAGGGCTACTGCGGGGGGGGGGTGGCCCTGGGCCACCTGAACCTTCTGTCACTCCATCTGTGGGCCTAGAACTCTCATCCCCTTATTCCTTCAAAGCCCTTCTTAGCTGCTTTGAGGTTAAGGTTTCAAGATTCCTGGGGTTAAGTCCAAGGAAACACGTGGGCTGCAAGAAATTCAAGGAGTATCACACAGTTCCCTGTGCCAAGCAGAGGCCCTCAGTATCTCCACACTCCATGAAGCCCCTCCATGGTCACTGGCCCAAAAGGCTAGTCAACACTGAAGGCTACTTCGGGAGGGCTGGGGAGTTGGGGGGGCTTGTGAGCCATTCAGCTAATCCCACAATGGTCCCTCCCACCTGGGTGGTGGAACCAAGGCTGCCCTCTGATCCTTAGAGGAATGTAAAACGTCAATCCCCAAGCCCCCCCCCCCCCCCCCCCCCCCGGCAGACTCAGGCAGTGGGGCTTTGGGATCGAAGGGAAAGGCTTGAGTGGAGCTTCTCAGGCCAAGGCACCTGTCTTCCCTGGGAACACCCTTTCTTGTTCAGGACTTCCCCACCCACACCCCTCCTTTTTGTGCCAGGAGAACAGTCGTGAAGCTCTGGCCGAGGTGGCCTCTGAGAGCCCCAGATCAGCCCTGGCAAGATCCATCTCCACTGACACCAGTGTGGAGGTAGGCTGCCGGCTGGGCGGGCAGAGGGTTGGCACTGGGTTACAGGAAGCCCATTCCCAGGCCACACTCGTTCCTGGCACACCAGCCTGCCCTGGAGGTCACATGCTATGCCACATTCTGTCCTTGTGACCTGGCTTCCCTGGGCACTGCCCCAAGGGAGCCACCTTGCCGAGGCTGAGGACCAGGACGCTTGGCCAGGCGCTGACTCCTGCCCTCTGCCGCTGCCTCTTTGCAGCTGAATTCCCAAGACAGCCCCAGGAAACAGGACTCCACGGCACCCTCGTCTACCTCCTCCTCCTCCGACCCCATCTTGGACTTCAACATCTCCCTGGCCGTGGCCAAAGAGCGGGCCCACCAGAAGCGCAGCAGCAAGCGGGCCCCGCAGATGGACTGGAGCAAGAAAAATGAACTCTTCGGCAACCTCTGAGCATCCTCCCTCAGGCACCTGGGAGGGCCTGGCCAGCCCCCAGGCCCCAAACCAGCTCACTCACCCTCCTCCTCACTCACTCCCTGTCTCCCCCTACCCCCAATCAACACACAAATCATCAGCCCCCCCCCCCCCGCCCCGACATCAGGTGAATCTGATTTTTCTAGAACTATGCTCTTCCCTTACCTCCGGGAAGGTGAATGTGTTTCCATCCTGCCCCAATCAGAAAACAAGACTCTTTCCTGCTCCTCCTTACTGAGTGCTTCAGCCCCTTGCCACTCTCCAGGGACATCACTGGAACCCACACCAAGCAAGACCCGGTGAGAGGTCCTGTTCCCTCATGACCCCAAGTGATGACTGAGTCCAGGGTTGATCAAGGACTTCATATGACAGCAACAGCATTGTGGAATGGACAGGGGTCCATCATCCTTGAGCTGTGGCTTGGGCATCTTATTTTTGTTCATTTGATTTTTTTTTTTTTTTGAGTGCAGTATCAGAGTTTAGAGGGATTTTTTATTTCCTTGATTTAACATGATTTCCCACGTTGTTGCATCCAGGACATAGCGGCAACCTCAGCCTTAAACTTTGTTTCTGCTCCTACCCTGGAGCCCCAGGCAGCATGGAGACGGTCTAACTCCTGCCCAACCACCCTATTGTAAGGAAACTCCAGAAATTCAACTGGCTTCCAAACTGCCTCAGCCTCTGTGTCTTCTTTTAGAGCTCTGGGTGTTCCCAGGGTAGCCTCTGGCTGAGAGGGTGGGGTACAGCTGGAGGGGAGGACAGTCCAAGCTTCTCAGACTCCAGGGGCGGGGAGTAGAATGTGGGCAGCTGTGTTCAGAGGGCCTTGGGCCCCGTAGCTGCCTGGGCTTTGCACAGGTCCCATGGCAGTAGGACCTGCCCAGCTCCTGGATGCATGCAAGGCTGCCCCTGAGAAACCTTTATTGTAGGAAGTGGAAGGGAAGACCCGCGTGCTCAGAGGACTTCATGCAGTTTCTAATTCAGAGCACTGAAATTGTGAATCCCGGATGGAGCTGCATTTGGAATGCAAAGACATGGCTTTAATCTCTCCCACTCACAGCCAGTGGGGTGCGGGATCCCCAGGAGTGTCCAGAGCTCGCACTGGATTCCCCATCTTATCTGGCTGTGGACATGACCAGAGGGCTGTGGTCCAGGACGTGTTCTGTGGCAGGTGGGGTGGAGGGGACTTTCCAAGGGCAAAATACCCTGCTCCTCCTCAAGAGACCCAGGTCTCTTCCACCCCTGGTACCTGAGGCCACATCCTGGAAGTCGGCCAGGGTGGCCATCAAGGGCTGAGGCTGCCAGGCCCAGAGGTGCTTGGAGGGAAGGAAGGGAAACTGATGCTCAAGGAGACCGATAATCAAAGAGGACCCAGGGAGCCCCTAGGGTTCAGAGAAGGCTGGATCACTATCTGGTCATCTTGGCCTCCTGTTAGAGCTTAGATTCCCACCATCCTTAAGAGAAACCATTCAAAACCCTTTCATCGCACCCTGGCCTCGGGCCCGGCCCACCCCCTCCCAACCTTGCCTCTAGCTTGTGACCCTTCGTGGAAGCCCCTCACAGGTAAGCCAGGCCTAAAGACTGCTCCACGGGGCAGCAGAGGGACCCCCCTACCACCTCACCTGTTGGGTGGGGAAGCCGTGGGGGCCTCTTGACGAAGCTGACGGAACTCCTTATCACTGAGGGGCCAGACACACAACAAACCCCTTTGTACTCAGCAAGCAAAGTCAGATCTAGTTTTTCACCTACATAGAAGTGTTGGAATATGCCAGATGGGGTAGGGGGGGAGGCTGGGAACTGAGGACCCCAGCAATAGTTCTGGCTCCGCTACCTTGAGCAAATCACTGCAACTCACCTGAAGGTTTCCCCCCTTTGAGAATACCAAGTACCCTCGAGGGTCTCTTCCATGACTACATTTTGAAACATATCTGGCCTCTCAATGGCCACGGAGATTATGATGGGACAGTTGGGAATCAAGGGGTGTCCTGTGTCCTGTTGTCGGGCAGCCCCGCCTTCCCAAACCTGTGCCTCCGGCGCCCCCTTGTGGCTTTGTCAGGCACAGCTGCTCCCAGAGGCTGAGAAGCGAGGCGCCAAGTTGGGAGGTCACAGGTCCCCCCCTTCAGAAAGGTACTGCTGAGTGGCTTCTGCTTCCTCCTGCAGCCCTTGCAAATAAGCAGCGGCTCCAGGCTTCACTGATAGAGGGGTGCTCCAGCCACAAGGAGCTGCATCCAAAACACTCTTGGATCCAAAGAGGAGGAAGAAGCAAGAACGAGGATACTCGCCCACTTAGTTTCCAAGCCACCTGTTGTTCAGGGCCTAGCTCGTTCACTTCCAAACTTCTTGGGGTCACACTCAGCCTGCTTCTGCAGGACAAAAGCAGACTGAGCTCCTCCCGCCCTGATCCTACCACGCTGGACTGGATGCGGCAGGCTGCGCCTTCTGGTGGCTCACCTGCACATAGGCTCAAGGAAAAGCCGGGAAAGGTGCTGTGCAGTAGGCTTTACTCCTAGCCAGGGCCTCCACCCCAGGGTGGCACCTCTGGCCTTCCATTCACCAGGCCCTCATTCGCCTCTGCTCCCACCTCCACCCTGCCTCCTGGGGATTCACGCTGTCCACACCAGGTTCCAGGAGTCCAGGGCTGGCCAGGAGGATGGGCTGGCCCTGAAGTCACTCATCCACATGGCCAGCCTGAGGGAGGCCAAGGCAAGTCCAGCCCAGAGTCTGAAGGGCCCCACAAGGAGAGTCCCAGGCTACAGCGGAGCCAGGGGCCCTATGCCCCAAAGGCCCCGACAGTTCACCTTCTGTTACAGGGCTCTGGGCTTTTGGACTGCGTGGTCCCAACACCCCCATTCACACAGGGTGGCTGCCAACAAGGCCAGCTGTCAGTGGGACTCCGACGACCCATCTCTATAGCACTTCTCTTCCACATGGCTGGTCTGCTCCAGAAGCCACTGCCGCTCATGCTCGTTCACTATCAGCCTAAACGTCACCTCTTGGAAGACGCTGCTCACGGCCACCTATGTGAGCCAGGGACAGCAGGGGCAGCTAAGTTACAGCCACAAGCTCTAGCACCACTAAGCCCCGCCCCGGGCCTCGCCCTCCCACCAGCAACATCCTTACCTGCTCAAAGTGCAGCTTCTGGAACATCCGGATACTCGGTTCATTTCCTTGCCCAATTTTAGCCTCAAACTTGGTCAGACCTAGTTTGGTCACTCCTCCCAGAGAAGATCGGAGAGAGGGACGAGCCACAGGATGAAGCAACCCCTCACAGCCCCTGCACTTCCTCTCCCACTTTGCAGTGGAGGCACCCGTCACCTGCCCCCCACCCTCAGGCCTGAAGAAGGCCTGCTCCCAACATGCCCCTGCCCTCACCGGGGGCCTGGCCACTTCTCCACTGTCTCTCAGGCTTCCTTACCATATGACATCATCATGAGAACAGCCTCGGTGCCAAAGCCTCTGCCCCTGCAGCTGGGCTCTAGGAGAAACAATGGCAATCACTGGCACCATGTGCCAGGCTCCGCTGTAGGCACAGCTGTGAGGCAGCCAAGACCTCATTTCATCCTCAGCTCGACACGGCTGGTACTACTACTGCCGTTGTGCAGATAGGGAAAGAGACACACAAGCTGAAACGACTCACCCAAGGGCTCCCAATTAGAGGCACCCAGCAACCCGACCCCAGAGCTGACCCTTGAACCTCAGCGTCCTGCCTCATAAGGACAGTGTTAGGGGAAAGCTGGGGACCAAGGAGAACACAAACTAGCGGGGCTTCCCCCGCAGCACGGGAAGATGCTCCAAGGAAGGTCATGCATTTGGGGAGGGTTCCCAGCACTCAGGCCCCCAGTGGGGATGAGGCAGAATAAAGTTGGAAGACCCCCCCCACAAAACCGAAGGTTAAATTCACCCCTAAGCAGAAGACAGGAATAAAGCAAACGACCACGGGTGAACCAGCAGGCCACTGGAGTGCCAGGCGGCAGCGTGCCCCAGCTCGGTGCCGGGTTCCCCCGTGCGGAACCTCCCACTGAGCTGAGTGCCTTACGCAGCCTCAGCTGGCTCAAGGTTCAGCGGCTCCGAGGGCCAGAAGGGAGGGAAGGCAGGGCCAGGTGGGACCAACCTGCGATCATGACCTCAATCTCCCCCAGGGAAGGGTCCCATAGATCTGTGAGAAAGAGGTTTACATCTCCCGCCATGCAGCTCTCTTCAGTGGTGCTCAGCCGGGCCTGCCACTTCTCTGCATCCAGCACAATGAACGTGCACTCTAAGGAAAGAGGCGGCAGGGTTATCGCCCACCCTCCCCGAGGAAGGGAAGGGATGACAGTCTTCCTACCCAAACCAGAGAACTGTAGAGCACTGTGTGCCAGGAGGAAAACAGGCCCAGAGCTTCCTTTAGCTGATGCCAAAGCCCTAAATTTGCCTCATGCAGGAAAAGACGGGAGTCCAGACAGCGGCTATACTCTCAGAGAGCAGGAACCACAGCTGCGGTTGAGCAAGAGATGTGAGGGGCAGGGCCTCGACTTACAGCCAGAGCCCCACATGCTTTATTTCCTCTAAATCCTTCCAAGCCTGATGCCCTGAGGGGGGGGAAAAGAAGCCTCAGTCACAGGGACTGGCTTCCGTGGGCATCAGGGTATGACGGTTTCAGGCACCTTCCAGACTTTCCATGAAGGGGTTTTCATAAGGTTACTGGGGCCCAGGAGGGCTACAGCTGGAATGAGAAACGGAGGGAACCTGGAGACCACCTCTGGAGCCAGCCCTCCCGCTGCCAGCCCAGCCCAGAGCCGGCGCTCCTCACTGGCCGTGTCCTCCCGCCAGCTCCGCTGCATCGAATACTCCTGCTCCAGTGTCAGTGGCTCGGAGGCGGTCAAACGCTGCAGCTCCTCAGATTTCATCCACTCGTGGTACCTGCAAGGACAGAGGAAGGGCCTGATTCAGAAGTACAGGTCTGAGAAGTGGGTGGTAGGAAGGAGAACCCCACAGGGCTAACACAGGGCTCATAAAAGATCCAAGGAGGGGCGCCCGGTGGGCTGTCAGTTAAGTGTCTGACTCTTGATTTCGGCTCAGGTCATGATGTCCAGGTTGTGAGATGGAGCCCCGCGCCAGCCCCGAGCTGGGCATGGAGCCTGCTTGGGATTCTCTCTCTCTCTCTCTCTCTCCCTCTGCCCCTCCCACTGCTCACACTCGGGCTCACTCTCTCTCTCTCTCTCTCTCCTCTCTTTAACAACAACAACAACAAAAAAATCCAAGGAAAGGGTTATAATAGCTCCTTAGGCAGAGGGCCATAAGCACAAGACCTAGAAGCAGGCTGGTCTTCCAAGAGACCAGCAGGAGGGATCAGTTCTGTCTATCCAGCTTCCCATCCTGTCTCAGGGGTCAGTGCGGAGTAGTCTGAAGTCAAACATTCCTCAAATTCCTGAGCAGAAGTATATGGCAAGCTGACCTCAGTAAGGATGGCTGGACGTATCTCCACAAAGGCCAGACAGGAACCCCCCCCAAAAGGAAAAACTACAGGGGCGCCTGGGTGGTTCCGTCAGTTAAGTGTCTGCCTTCAGCTCAGGTCATGATCCTGGGGTCCTAGGATCGAGCCCAGGTCACCCCCCCTGTGTGCACACGCTTGCTCTCTCAAATAAATCAAATCTTTAAAAAAGAAAAACTACAAGTAGAGAATACACCCCTACATCGCCACCATCCCAGCCTACAGGACATTTGCCAACTGCCCCAGCAAAAGTCCCACCCTGAGACTCAGTTCTGGCCTTTCCAAACAGTAGACGTCAGAACGACCCATCAGCTCAGTTTTACAAGCTACCATCATGTCTTCAAGAACTGAGTATATTTGGAGCATCTGGGTGGCTCGGTTGGTTGAGCAGCCGGCTATGGGTTTCAGCTCAGGTCATAATCTCAGGGTCCTGAGATGGAGCCCCATGTCTGGGCTCCATACTCAGCGGGGAGCCTACTCCAGGATTCTCTCTCCCTCTGCCCCTCCCCCCCCCCACTCCCGCTCTCTCTAAAATAAACAAATAAATCTTAAAAATGAAAAAAAACCTAAGCATATTCACTGGCAACAGAGGAAAGTCACTGATATACAATTACGCAGTTTCTTTTCTTACACCCGTTTAGTTTACATAAAATAATTCCTTGCTGAAAGTCCAAAAAGGAAGCCGAGAGGATGAAAGGGAAAAGCAGGGGGAGGGGTGACTTCCTCCAGGGAAGTCCTCATCCTCTGCTTCAGTGATCACTTCTTTCTGTAATGACTTCTCACAGCAATGTTTCTCCTTCTTAGAGGAAACAGCCTCTGAGATTTGGGCTAAGGAAGGCTGACCCTCCTAGCTGCATCTTGGGAGAGCTGGTTTGCACCCCATGTTAGATGGACTGTTACCTAGGCACGTGCTCTGCGGTGTAGGGCACCAGCACCACCTTCTTCCCCAGCAGCAAGGTGTTCTCGTTTGACCTCATGGTAGCAGCCTGCAGGAGGGGAGGGCAAAGACCAGGACCCTGTGTTTCCTCCCACTTAGGGTGGGAGCCCTGGGCCTTCAGTTCCCTAAATGCCTCCCAGAGCTAAGTTGTCAGAAGAGTCTTGGTCCTTCTTTCTTTCCAAACATTTCAGAGAACACGGACTCTAGACCCCTTGCGAGAAGGGGAAGAGGGCCGATTAAAGATAATTACAAAATCCTTGCGTCGCATCTCATGGGGCTAAGCCTGAGCTGCCATTTCTGCGTGTCCCTTCCATCCCACCTCACTGAACTACGAAGCCTCAAACCCAAGCACCAAGACTTAACCCCAAAGCTCCCATCACGTGCCCCCATCCCGAGACGCCGCCCCAGGATTAACCTTCAGCCCCGCTTTAAACCTATTTCCAGACCCTCTTCCCAGCGACCACCCCCGCCACCGGCCTCGGGCCCTCTCTCCTCCCCACCCACCGAGCCAGGTCTAACCAGGCCGCTCCGGGGTGAGGCGGGCTTAAGTTCTCAGTCCCCTCCCCTTTGCGTGAACCCGTAGGCCACTCTCCTCGATCGCCCCAACCACCGGGGTCCCGGAGCGGCTCAGCTCGAACCCACTGCCCCCCGAAGAAAGCGTCCCCAGCAGAGGGGGCGACCCACCTCTTCCGACCCGCCCCGCTTCCCCTCCGGCCCGCGGCCCCCCTTCCCGCACGCGTCGGGGAGTGCCCCTCCCCCGTTTCCGCCACGCAGACGGCAGCCGCCCCGGCCCAATCCCGGTCCCGCCTCCGCGAGGCATCCAATCAGCGTGCTGCGCCCCGCCCAGGGCGCGCACGGGCAAGGTGGGCTCCGGGCGCGGGCGCATGCGCGCTGTGGGCGCTGGTGAGGGACAGCTGGCGCCGGTGGCGGCGGCGGCGGCGGCGGCGGCGACGAAGGGGCCGGCGGCGGCGGCGGCGGCGGCGGCGGCGGCCCGGAGCGAGCCGGGGTGCAGGTGTCCGGCTGGACGGGAGGGTGGGATGGGCCTGGACGGCGCCAGGCTCGGGCTGCTCCAGGAGGGAAGAAGAAGTCGGGGAAAGGCTCGGAGCGGGGCCCTTGAGAAGAGGGGGAGGCTTGAGGCTGAGGAGCCCGAAGGCAGGGCAGAAAACAGGTTGGGGGGGCTGGGAAATGGAAGAGCGTTAAAAAGGAGAGGTTTGGGAGCAAGGAGTTGGGTTGGGGAGCGACCTGGGCAAGCCCTAGCCCTAAGCAAACAAGTTTGTTGCCCTAGGCGGAGGAGACTGTTACATGGGCTGCCCTGTGTGGTAGTGAGCTCGCCGTTCCTGGCATGGAATGTGGATGGCCACCGCAGAGGGTACAAAGGGGGCGCCTCGTGGTGAGCGAGATTTAGTGGCTTGCGGGTCTCCTTCTATCACTTGGAGTCTGAGCGGCATTGAATACCTTCATGCCCTGCACAGCAGGGGAAAAGTTGGAGGAAACCATCCAGGTGTCAGTCTTCCAGAGCTGCCTCATGACGGGTATCGAGGCCATGTCTGCAATAAAAGTACGGGGCGGGGGTGCTCTCCAGAACTGTCCCCCAGCGCCAGCGACGTCTATCAGAAAGCTGAAGTCTGCTCTTTCGCCCTAGGGAGCCGTAGCAGCCGCCGCCCCGGCAGGGAAGAAACCAGAGGAATCTCGGCTGCCCAGCGACCCTTCCTCACCTTTGGAAATGGCGGGTGAAATCACAGAGACCGGGGAGCTCTATTCTCCCTACGTGAGTTTTACTTTCGGGACCTGTTTTACCCACATCGTTGCCGCGGGCTCCTAGAGAAGCTCCGCGCTTCGGGGACTGTACTAGTGAGGACAGCAGCTTTGAGACCCTGGTGAAAGCCACGGTGGGGAACGCGGATGGGCAGCCGCTGCATTTCGGCTGTCCTGGCTCAGAGCATGTGATGAGAGTTTGTTCACGAGTTGGATGCTGGTCAGAGAGTGGTCAAGGAAAGAAAGCTGACTTGCTGATTCCTTGTGATCTTGATGGCGTGGCCACTAGCACTTGCAAACGGTGCTACTACTCTGGGGATGGTGATTGACAGCTGTTGACTCTGGGTTTGCTCATCTCAGCAGTTTGAAAGCACTTTGGTTGCCAGCTGAATTGTAAGTTGTGCAACTTTTATAGTCTTGGGTGGCGTAAGAGGCAGAGAAGGCTTGCAGAGACTTCCAAGTGCAATTTGCCGGAGTCTGCAATTAGAACAATTAGAAGGATTGATTTCTTACTGTGTTGGGTCTGTTACCCTCCCCCCAGCACCCCACCTCCCACAGGTGCACTCCGTTTATCTTCTTGGTGTAATGAAAGATTGGTCCTGGTTACATCATGGAGTCCTCTTGCCTGGATACCTAGCTGGAGGATCGGAATAATCAAATGATTGACTCATGGTGCTACTAAGTATCCCAGGGAAAAGCAGCACTGCCTGAAGTAACAACAGTCCTCTTTCTAGAATTTACCTAACCTTGAGCAGCTTCCCCGCTTTGCACTTAGTTCCTAGCCTGGGGGGTCCCTGCTTTGTCTCTGCTAACTTCACAGACTCTAGAGCTGTGGCGTGATACCTGAGAAGGCATCTCAGAAAATAGCGGGCAAAAAGGCTTTCTGACACCACGGTCTTCCTACTGGGTCTCTGTCTTTTGTGTGTAGCACCAAAGGAGCCTCCTTTCTCTCCATAATTTATCAGGGGAAAAATTCTTTCTTGAACTTTGGACTGAATCTAATTGTGTTCCTCTCATCTGCGGAATTGTGTAACAGCTCACAGCCTCCTCTTGGTATCAGCAGTGAAATGTCCCCACTACCCATAAAAGTTGCCATGCCCCCTGCTGCTGCTCAGAGCATCTATACGTTTAGAGGTGAGAAAATGAGTTATTTCTGTAACTGAGTTTTAGAAAGGAAAAAACTTTGATATGCTCACTTTTCTTGTGTCTCCAGTTATTCACATAATCATTTCACATGTCAGTATGTACCCATAGGAAATTGGGCAGTGAGGCCTAAAGGCCTCAGTGGGTTCTGCTCCCCACCCCCAACTTTCCTGTGTGTTTGGTTTTGTTTGAGGTCTGTGTTTAAGAGCATACTCTGGGCATTTGCCATAAACAATGGCTTGCATTCTCTTATCCTACCGGTGGAGAGAAATGTAGAGAAGAGATGGGTGGGTGGTGTCGAGGGTGAGGTGGCATTAGCCAGGAGTTAGAGGTCAGGGTTTGAGGAGACACTGTACCTTCTTCCTGAGGTTTCCCTAGGGAGAGTGGTTCTTAATCCCTTGTGAGACCAGGAGAAGGGCATAGATTCACCAACCGCTGAGCCCAGGAAAACAGTGGAACTCACTTCACTAGACATTGCTTTGAATCCCCTGCTCAACACAATGCAGGCAGGACCTGCTCTTCAGGTCTTGGGAAACTGAGATACTGAGCACTTACTTGGTTCATGAAGGTGCATCAGCCCATGACCTGGGTTGTTATCAACACAAAGCCTCTCCCTACTTCGGTGTTGCCCTGTTGTCCGTTCTTTTCCTCTTCACAGGTGCCTGGGATGCTTGCCTTAGCTTGCATTATTCTGCGTAGATTATGTGTAATGGGCAGACCGGCCTCACAGGGGGACTCCGGTGAGAGGCCCTCTCAAGGGTAACGCTGGGTTCAAAACATGGTTCAGGCCCGCACGTCCCCCCCGCCCCCAGAAATGATCTCAGAACAGGCATGTCTGGGTTTCCTGTGTACGGGGACCAGGAGCGGCTCAGGGCTGCAGGGATTATGTGACCCAAATAGAGGATGACGTAGACCACCACCCAGACAAGGCCCAGCTGCTGAGGGCCCCGCCAGCCCAGTCTTGCCAAAGATCATTGCCGTTGCTTTCGAAGGAAAGGTCGCTGGTTTCACAGCCTTAAATCCTAGTCATTGCTTCCGCATCTCTGCTGCCTTCTGTTTCCTTTAACAACTGTCACTGGGGGAGTGGACGAAAACTGCCCATGACGCTTGCCTAAACACCCGTCTGTGGGTGACACCACTGGGTGGGAGGTAAGGCAGCAGGAACACTGTGCGCTGAACTCCCTAGAGCCCGGGGGCACGGATCCACCATCCCAGGGAATGATGGAGAATGGGAGGAGGCAGTTTAGCCTGTAGCGAGGTTTGATTCTTCTGCTTTCGGCCACACCTTCCAGGAGCTGGTCCCCACACTACTGGCAGAAGAGACTGTCTCCTTCCTCTTCCTCCTGCCCCACAACTGCTTTTGACCTGGCCTGTGGCTCAGCTCGGATTTGTCTCCTGTTCCATGGTCTTTGTAATTGGTCCTCACCAGCACCTTTATTTTTTTTTTTTTAAGATTTTATTTATTAATTTGTCAGAGAGAGAGAGCACAAGCAGGGAGAGCAACGGAGAGGGAGAAGCAGCCTTCCCGGGGAGCAGGGAGCCCGTTGCGGGGCTGGATCCCAGGACCCTGGGATCACGACAACCTGAGCCGAAGGCAGACGCTTAACCGACTGAGCCACCTGGGGACCCCACACCAGCACCTTTATTGAAGGTCGAGAGGCTTTAACTCTCACCAGGGAGGTAAAGAAGTCTCATGTTATCCTACAGGGTTCCCAGAGCCCCACTAGGCCCAGAGTTCTTGCTTTGGAAACTAAAAAATAGCAATGGCATAGGACAAATCTGATTTACCATTTCTGCTCCTGATTGTCCATCCCTAATTAGCTTCTTCGTAAAGTTCTTTTTTTTTTTTAAAGATTTTATTTATTTATTTGAGAGAAAGAATGAGAGAGAGAGAGAGCACATGAGAGAGGGGAGGGTCAGAGGGAGAAGCAGACTCCCTGCCGAGCAGGGAGCCCGGTGCGGGACTCGATCCCGGGACTCCAGGATCATGACCTGAGCCGAAGGCAGTCGCTTAACCAACTGAGCCACCCAGGCGCCCTTCTTCATAAAGTTCTTAAAGGATCTTTTGCACTGAGACTTACTTGAAGTGTCCGTTGGGAGTGTGTTTATTTCATTGTGTTTATCAGCAGTGGTTCTCAGCTGGTGGCAATCTTGGCTGCTCCCCCCCCACAAACACACACACCACACCACCCCAGGACATCTGGCAATGTCCGGAGACATTTGTGATCATCACAACACAGGTACAAGGTTGGGGGTACTGGAACCTAGTCGGTAGAGGCTAGGGATGCTGCTAAACATCCTACAATCCACAGGACAGCCCCACCACAAAAAAGAATCTGGCCCCAAATGTCAAAAGTGCTCAGGCTGAAAGCCCCTGCTCTACAATAGACCCTTGACCTTTACATCTCAAGACCTTCAGGCATCACAATTCACAAATGCCTCTTGTACTATTTCATTTCCTTATAAAACTTTTGGCTAAGAACCATCACTTTCTCTTTACTTCCATCACGAGAACCTTCACTGGGGCCATTTTCCATAAAGAGAAAGGGTCCGCCCTTCCTAAATGTTACTGCTCAGAAAAGCAATATGCAGAGAACAAAGCTGCAGGGAGCTGTAGGAACATGGTTCAAACTTGTTTTAATCCTTCTGGGATCTGTCTGTGGGATCAAACGGGGACTGTGATGTTTAAAACGGGACAAAGACTGGGACTTACGTCAGAGAAGACCTAGCCAGGTCCAGTCAGCTCGGC